GGTGTTTGCTGGCCAAAATAATCATTTTACCTTCTTCTCTCTGATTCAAAGGACAGATTGGTTGACCTGCTAAACACCACTAAACGAAACCCAGGGTGGTTTCAGCTCTCAAATATTTCCAGATCACATGATGCTTCCTTGATAAGCACACACAAACAACTTCTGCTGGTAGAAGAGGAATGTAGAAAGGAGCTGTTTCCTTTTTTGTGGTTTTGGTTCCTTTTACTAGAAGGGGCAAACTGTTTCCTTTTTGATGATTAGACAGACACAGAATCAAGGTTATCAAAATGACGAATTCATTCCCAGTGTTGGTTCCCAGCTTCTGTAGCAGTGGTAGGGATAGAGCATTAACTATTCAAAATATCCTCCCTGCATCTCGGAGACTAATGCTTTAAATTGTTACTAATAATTTATTCCAGCAGGAAATATTCAAAGTAACTTCAAAACATGCTATTTACTCATCAGCACAAGGCATTTAAAGAGATACAATGCACTTTGATCCACTGAAATCAAATATTTATTGTGTCCTCAAATTTAACGTATTAAATACATTTTTTTAATGTAAAAAGAAGGAGAGTCTGGTTTAACCAAAGGCCATTGAACTGGTTTCTTTGAGTGCTGAGTAAACATTTGGGCATGGTGGCTGTTTGGTAACCCAGCAAAGAACTTCCTCTCTGATAAGAACCCAAGACACATGCGGTTTTCCGCCATTTTTTAAAAAAGCTAGTAGATTTTTTTTTTTATCATGTTTCTTTAGAGGATTGAAAGGCAAACTTTTTTTTGTACATGCAGTACCTTAAGTGAGTGAGCAAACAAAATTAATTAAAAATAATCATTAATTATACAGTACTATACAGTAATGTGCAAACATCTTAAACATTACTGTATTAGCATATCTTATGTCTTAATAATTTATTTGGGACACTGGTAATTTGTGCATCAGTTGTTGTTTTTTTTAATATAATGAAATGCAGCATATAAGGCAAAACAGTATATTTTTAAAAAAACTTGAAGGTCAATATTTATTCTTCAACACAGTCAGCTTTCTGCTAATTTCTTCAGGAATGCTTCTCCTGACTTTTTAAAGGACAATCAAAGCTCATCTTTGGATTTTTGCTGCCTTATTCTGTCAAAATGATCCCACGCTGCTTCAATAATGCTGAGGTGTGGACTCTGTGGAGGCCAATCCATGACTGACAGTTTCAAATGAGTGTTTTTGTCTAAGCTTTGGTATTGGCGGTGTGTTTGAGATCATTTTCATGCTGAAAAATCAAACTGTTGTCAGTCAGACAATAACATGATGGTTTTGCATGGCGGATGAGGAAGACAGTCTGGCCTTTGAAACAAAATATAAAAGAATAAGGGGTGGCTCAAGACCTTTGCACAGTATTGTTTGTATCATCACATTTCGCGTTTATCTCTGCGTGAAATTCCAAACTAGAAGGATTTCTGATAAACTATTCTTAACAAATTTTTTTCACTTGTTTTTCGTTAAAAGATAAAATGGAAAGAGACATAAAATGGAATTCATGGAAAGAGCAGTGAAACAATGTGGTTAGCTGGAAACCAGACGCTCACTGCTACAAGGGCTTCTACCCACGTAGTACAGAACCCAGCTACTCACCTATCAGGCTGCCCTCATACAGTTAACATTTATGAGAAACAGGGTGAAACAAAGTGTGACAGTGTAACCTTGGTGCCGCTTGTGTCGTCTTCTTGTGACCTCACTGAAAACTTTTTTTTGTTTTCCAGGGGATCGGAAACAGTTACTTTCACTCTTAATTTCTTCTATTTAGCTTATATTACCACTGGGGGGTTTTATAGAGAGAGGAACTAAAAGCAAAAGAGAAGCAACTTTCTTTTAATGAATTGAAGTGAAAATCTGTGTAATGGTTTTTACAGTCAATATCTCAGAGCAAGCAAAAATGTTGCTCTGAGATATTGTTATGAAAGAGACATTTGATTACAGACTAGTATGTTGTAAAACAGTGAAGCCCTTGTGTTAAAAAAATACAGCAACAAAGTATACATTGGTAAGATTACAGTGACCTTGGTTATTTTTTGTTCATTAATATTTTGGCATTAGATCCAGTAGGTGGCATTGTGTTACTAATACAACAGCAGCCTTTTTTCAAGCCATACAAGTGCATTTTCTGCCATCAAATAACAGCAAAACAATGGATTTATCATTCATTTATGTGAACAGCATTAGTGCTCAGACACAAACAACATGTTTTCACATTTTATTTTAGTCTGAGAATGGCGGCCCCTATTCTGAACATGGTATATTTTCTTTCATACTGATTAGTGGGGGTCAAAAGGTTTCTCTTCAAATAAATAAAGTCAACAAATATCTTAGCAGCAAAAAAAAAATCTGCACATCTTTGTTCTTCAAAGGAAAATGTTTGCTGAGATGAATTCTTTGAGACAAGTATTACTTCTGTTTAGAATTGAGAGATCAGGAAAAACACATTTTATATGAATTATTTCAGAATTCATTTAGAACAAACAGGTAATAAAATCCCCCAATATTAACTCTGTAACTAGGAGACAAAAAAGGATGACCCAGTCTCAGTGGCTTTAACGTTGTAACCTGTTATCAATTTAACTGTTAAACCTATATCATTTTTCTCGGTAAACCCTACAGACAGTTGTGTGGGGAAAATCCCAGGAGATCATCACTTTCTGAATTGCTCAGACCACCAGCAACCATGCCAGGTTGAAATTCACGTATTCACCTTCCTTCCCCATTCTGATGCTCGCTCTCAGTTTCAACTTCAAAAGGTCGTCTCAACAGTGTCTTCATGCCTAAATGCACTGAGCTGCTGCCATGTGATTGATTAAACTGATATTTGCGTTACCTAATAAAGTGGTCAGTGTGTGTAAATACCACATGTTTCATTCATAAATATGAAAATAATACCTAGTTCAGCCACATCTGAAAAATCTTGCTTCATCTATATTTTGAGCTGCCTTGCTCCTTTACCACAGTGAAAAACACAACCAGTGTTTCTCCTGCAGGAATAGAGGACAGGTGTTGACTTTACTGATGCCTACAAAGTGCTGGGAAAATTTTTGTCTCAGCTAGACCATCTTCCATCTAAAAAAGGCGTGTTAAATACTTATTATGCCCAAAGGTGGGTTTAATCAATATTCACATTTTGTTATTTGTGGATAATGAAAGTTGGGCAGCATCACTTGGATGTTGCATCATGGCTCTACAATCAACTGGAGTTAACTAAC